CGACTACAAAGTGTCACCAAAGAGAATGAAGATAGCAGGGATGATCTAAAATTTAAAAGTAGAAGCGATAACGTAATGTACGTACATTCACACGCTGCACGCACACGACTAAATACGACTACAACTTGTAACTTGCGTGCAAATGTCACAAGTGAAACTTTTGGGCATGGAATTACATCTTTTCCCTAAAAGCTTTTTTATTTTTTATTTTTGCATTTTTATGGATTCCAAAACAGATGACTTGGATGAAACCAATCCACGTTCTACTGATGATGACTAAAAAATGGACAGGAAGAGAGTCTGATCTTTCATTTTGGTATCGTTTTAGAGTTAAGAATGCGTCACCGTGAGTTGAGGGTGCGATGCCTCAGCCATCTTTTTTTTTTTTTTTTAAACCGTGCTCTCATTTAGCCTCAGTGGCGTCCAGAGCAAATTAATCCGCAACCAATTTCCTCTCAATTCTTTACAATCAATTAATCGGTTATTAGGCACGCGCTTTAACAAGACAACACGTTTGGGACGAGCTATTAAAAATGAGTTAGCAGCCAACCTGATGTTTATCAACGGCTTTCAAACGACTTGGTGGAATGACTGCGAGGGCCTCCTCGCACGGCGAACCCCGACCCCCCCCCCCCCCCCCCACAAAATGACGACAACAGATGCTCGGCGTCACGGGAGCGCAACAGGAAGTGAATTCAATCCCGCCTGGCTCGAGGTCTAATGAGACATCAAGTGAAAGAGGGGAAAAGGGAATCGGGTTACGCCGCAAAGCCCATCCGCGGAGTAAGAGCGCCTTTTTGTTTTGGATGGCTTTTCCATCAAAAGGTTGACGGTGACCTTGCGAGCGTCAGCGCGCCGCTTTGTTTACAGCGCTCGGGGGGGGGTTGCTTGCGGCGAGGAAGTCTTCCCCCGCGCAGCCAACCGCGTCCGTCACCACGTGCGGTTGTCACGTTGCGCTTTGACTTGCTTTGTCTTACCAGGATCCGCTGCCTTGGGAGTCGGGGCGGCATACTTTTTCCTCACGCCAGTGCATGACTGGAAATTTATGAAGAAGAAGAAATAGATCTGCAATTTGGCAAAAATAAATCAATAAATGTGTTCCTCAATAGTCATACTTGAACGCCATGATAAATGGATCGAGATTGGGAGCAATCTTCACTAGTCCAAAGACAGTGCATGGTCTGCTGCTTGACTGTTATTTTCACCAAGAAAAACATGGAAGTTCAAACAAAACAAGAAAGTGTGGTTTTTTTTTTGTTTATTTCCCCGCTCCTGATTTACTCCCACAACGGCGACAGCTACCAGCTACCTTACAGCCAGGAATAATGACGCTAGCTGTCTCCAAAGATGTCGCATCGCCTCGTAAATTTACTCCAACTTAGCGCCCAGGGCGCGGCCGCCGTGGCGGCGACACGAAGATAAAGTTTCAGTTGAGTGGTGCGTGGCGTTGGCTCGCTCCCTAAATCAACCTTTTGGGTGTTTTAAGAGAGCGGGCGAGAGATCTTGTTGGTTTCTTGGTGTTCCTTGTCAAGTTCGATTACATGTTGAAATTTGTAGCAAGCCAACCGTTGAGGGAACGTTAGCGAGCCGCGGTTAACTGAAGGTTAGACATAACTTGGGCCGCGCATAAATGGGCGGTGAGTCGAATTGAGTGGTGAATTGGCCGTTGAATATGTGTGAAAAGTTACGTACGCGCTACAGTCGAGGTGAGGCCCGGAAGTAGTTATGACAACATTTGGCTAGCTAACTGCGTGCTAGTAATGGGAATATGTGGCCAGCTAACATCGTGCTAGCAAGAAACGAAAGGGAGTTTTCAAACCTTGAAAACGGGGATTTAAATCCCCCCAAACGCACTCTCGCCTGAAAAGTAACAAATGTGGAGATAGCCCACTTTGATTCTCATCAGCTCATTATGAGTCATGCGTTCTTCACGTCGGGGACAGGAACTTCTATTCGGATGGTGCATTTGGATTGCGCTGAGCCTGTAGTGCCGATGCTAATGACTTTGTTTGCAAAGCGCCGGCGCTCCCGCGGCCTGTTGATCTAACCGCTCCGCGACTGTGGCCCATCAGTGACAATGCAAACAGCCCAACTGTGTGTTGTTCTGGCCCAGCGAACTCGCGCGCAAACACATCTGACGCAGCCTGCTTCCTAATGGGCTCGTCGCAGTATTTCGCATGCACGCACGCCAGCGAGAGAGAGAGAGAGAGAGGGGAGACAAACACGGAGTCGGTGGCAGAATTAAAATAGGCTCTGAGGGTTTTTGCTCGCTTGTGTGAACAGACACTTTTCCTTCAAATGCCTTGCTCAAGTCCAGTGGCGGTTTTAGACCAGTTTTACTGTGGGGTGGGCTGGGGCTTTAAACACACACAGGCACCTCCACTCTGTTGTCTGAATTGCTTCGCTCTATTTTTTCATTCGTGGTACTTCTTGTATTGTTTTGTCTTCATCACAATATTATGCATAGCATGGCCACCAGGGCGCAGCAGTCCTGAATGCACGAAAAAGAGTTTCGTGACTAACTGACGAGTAATATTAGTCGTCATATTAGTTGTTTTAAATTGTGCCTCTCAATTGAACAAAGCAAAATGTTTTGATTTTTATTTTTTTTTTTGCACTGTTGTTGCACTGTAACACGGCTGTGGATAGCAGCATCACTTTGGATTTGAGATCAGCACCGATTTTGAGTTGAAGATGAAGATCTGGCAATGAATCTCGGCTCCTCACGTCGTTTGTGAGGGAGAGAAACAGGGAAGTCGTAAAAGTCCAGGCAGCTCAGGCTTGAACAGATCATATTTATGTCTGCTATAAGCTGAGCGGGTGTCGTCGTAAAACACGCGCGTCGTAATCGGCAAGATGACACAGTTCATAAAAGGAATGGCGAACGGCATGTAACAAAAACCCATTGATGTCAGTCAGCCCTTGAACTGTCTTGAGACTTTAGCGCCCCCTGCCTCTTAATTCTAAGCAGTTTTGTCCCTTTTTTTGCATTCTCTGTGTCCAAAGCAATCACCGTCAAGGCACATTTGGAAAAGCTCGGGGTTGATGCAAGTGTGTCTTTTTTTTTTTTTTTTTTTTCTCGCGGGACTGGAATCTGTCGCATTCCCGTTGGTTCCTTGCCGACCTGTGCATGTTTGAGGACAGCTGTGAGGAAAGCGCACGTCTGCTAAGTCGCATCTCTTGTCAGTCTTCCTCTCCCCGTTGCTCAATTGCATGGAGCAGGATGTCGTTTCTTCCTCCTCTTTTGTCGCTGGCAAGGAATTCTTCTTCTCTTTCTTGGGAATTCCAAGCACGTGGGGGCTGCCCACCCCCAATTCAGGGGGGCGACGTGCCTCTATTCTTATAGAATTCTCACGGGTTGGAGGAGGAGAAGCCTGGCTAATTCATCAAGAATCGGAACCTAATCCTTTCTTTTTCTACTACTCCTGCCCGGAGGCTGGAGGAACATCCCCCTGGCTCACGCAGACACGCACGCAAGCGCGCGCCCGCGTGCTCGCGTGTGTGGCCGGCAAACAAGAGACGAGGTGTGGCTGGGATGGGGCGGCGTCCCGACGCTTTGTCTGCGGCACGGCCCACCAGAGCAGGGGGGGGGGGTTGTCGGGGGGGAAGGCTACACTTCGGCGTCTACAGCCGAGGCTCATCAGATTGGCGTGGGAGCCCACACGAGCACACACACGCATGCCTAAAGCGGGAATTGAAAACTGCGAGTTGACGAAGACGAAGAAGACGACGACTGGATTTTGTTAGCAACAGGAGCTAAGAAAGCGCAAGAGCGGGTGCCGACTACGTTGGAAGTGCTCAACAACAAAGAAAGTTGTCAAGTTGGACCGGTTTTGCCTCCGGGGAAGACGTAGGGAAAGGAGGGGGATGTGCTTTTCAAAGTAAAACTTGGACTATGGGACTTTTCATCCATGCCCTGGAGCACGGGGACAGCAAGTCGCGTTTCTGCGCTCGGCTCTGGATCCTTTTGATGAGTATGTTGACACTCTGATGCTAAGTGGCTAATGCTAATTTGGCTGTTGTTATTAGCTCGTGTCAGTGTTGGTGCATTTTAGCCTCTTTGGCATCTGTGTTGCTAACCAACACTTAAGATAAGATAAGAAAACCTTTATTAGTGTCGCAATGGAGAAATTCCCAATTCACAGCAGCAAAGTTATGAATGGAAGAAGTAGAACAACAAAATCAAAAAACAAAAAAAATTAACAGGGGAAAATTTGAATGGCTCAATGAGAAAACACCCTGTGATGTTTTGCTCCAGCAAAAAAGAAAAGATATATATATTTAAAAAAAAAGGTTCCACACCTCAGTGTGACCCGCTGAGTGTTTTGTCATCAAAAACAGGTGAATTGACACGGTACGTATAATAGAAAATATCAAAATATAACCATCGTAATGAGTTTTTTTTTTTAAGATTTTTCTTTTCACACTTTTAATATTACAAAGTTATTTTAAACTTGAAAGTGGCTCCATTTGACCCTCAGTGTAACTAGTCATTGAAGACATCCTCACTGTCGGTTGTCGTTTTTGCTTTAACGAGAGCTGTATTTAATTCACTGACTCATACTGATGAAAGTTGTCAAGATGGACTCGTTTTGGCTCGGCGGAGGACGCAGGATGGAAGTAAAGGGATCTCCTTTTCCAATTCAAACGCGGAATACAGGACTTTTCATCGCAGCAGGTTGCGTTTGTCAAATTTGAGGCGGGTTGACTTGGCAGACACTGTCGGTCGCGGTCGTCAGTGGCGTGAGCTGGTTTGGCGACTTACTTTTAGCATTCTAAGCTAACGGGATGCTTGCCTTTGCTGTTGACCCTCATTGTGACCTACTCGCTTTGTTCATCGAAGAAAACGGTTCAAAAATGGCCAGCGTGGTTTTATCTAGATTATTTTCCTTTTTTTTTTTTTTTTTTTTTTTTAAACTTTAAACCGGATTTATTTGGCTATCAAGCGCACCCCTGCTGAGCGGCTTGAAATTGAACTCGTGTCCTTTCTTTCTTGGCAGCGCTCGCAGGCAAAGTCTCGCCCACCAGTTCCGATGCCCTCCTCAGTTCCTTGCCGGTGACGGCCCGCCCCCCGCCGCCCGCCATCTACCTGCCGGCCAGCTTCAAGATGTCCAACGTGCAGCTGGCCTTCTTCTTGCGCGAGGCGGCTCAGGCGTCGGGACCGAACGCGGCCGGCGGCGGCGGCGGCGGCCACCCGCTGCAACGCTCGGAGAGTTTTGTGGTTTTCCAGACAAAGGAGCTGCCGGCGGTCAATATTAGCTTGGGACCTTTTGTCCGTGACCAGACGCTGTCCAAGGAGTTGCTCCAGCCGGCCAGCCCGCTGGACATCCCCGGCCAGCTGACGGTCAACTGGAAGGTGCGCGCCTTCATCGTCCAGCCGCGGGTGTTCTCCAACAATCCCGCCGTGCAGGTGTTCTTCTACATCGCCGGCCGCGATTGGGACGACTTCAAAGCGCAGGACAAGCTGCCGTGCGTCCGGCTCCACGCCTTCCGGGACGTGCGGGAGATGAAGACGTCGTGCCGCATGAAAGGCAACCTGGCGCAGTGTTTGGCGCAGCTGGACCTGCCGCCGTCCTGGTTCAACGCCAACGTGGCCCCGCTGGGTCGCCGGAAGGGCTCCGGGGGGGGCGACGGCGGGCTCCTGGACGGGCTGACGGGCGAGACCCTGCAGGCGGAGCTCTACTACACGCTGCACGAGCCCAACGCGGAGGGCGAGTGCGGCGAGGCGGCGGGCCACCGGGGCGCCCGGGGGGAGGCCCCGTCGCAGCACCCCCTGCTGCGCATCGGGAGCATCAGCCTGTATCAGGCCAGCCGCGAGCAACTGCTGGTGGACAAGCAGCTGGACAAGAACATGTTCCTCAGGCTGCCCGAGAAGCCCCTCAAACCCGGGGAGACCCTCAGGATCTTCTTGTACTTGATGCCCAACTCCACCGTGGAACAGTTCAGCCTCAAGTAAGTGGCACACCAGCGCTCCGGTTTACTTCCGCATCTTTCCGCGCGTCCTGCGGGGGGGCGCGCTGGCAAGTTCGCGTCTGATCAGAGCCCGCCAGACTGCTTCAAACGGTCACGCTTTCGGATGCATGTTCACTTTTGCTTGCGTTTCATCCATATTTGTCTTTTCAATCGTAAATAGTCACATAAAAGCCCATGACAATAATATATCACTTTGAGCACCGTCACGTTGAGTTGCCGATGGACCAGGAGATAAAAATCCGCGATTTCGCTGGACCGCAATATCGTGGGCAAACACACACCGTCCTGAAATTCATCCAAATGAACGTCGGCCTATAACGGAGTGCGACGAGCTCTATGTAAGCTCATTCCGCGCGTTTATTATCCATCACGAGGTTGCTCTGTTTTAGCTCAGAGGAGCCTAATGAGCATGTAATCGCCCCCCCCCCCCCTTCGCCCCGCTTTCCTAATAATGCTGAGTCATGCCGAGAGGGAGGGGGGGGGCCGGGTTCAAGCGGCCCGCTAAGGTGATCGCTTTGGAGCGGTGCCGTAACACATGCACGTAACGCACGTTTGCGTCCGCTCGCCCTCTCACGGAAATGCTGCTCAAAGCACTTTGGTGTAAATGAGCGCAAGAGGTGTGTGTGTGTGTGTGTGTGTGTGTGTGTGTGTGTGTGTGTGTGTGTGTGTTCTTAGAGGAAAAAAGACATGTAAAATAATTCCCCTGAACTTTTGCTAATTGTGATGTGTAGCATCAAAATATCAAATTCATCATGTTTCTTGCTAGCTAACAATCGGAAGCGCAATTCTACTTTTCTCACTTTTGTGGCAAAATAAATAAATAAAAAAATTCCCCTGTTCTGCAGTTTGAGAGTACACACGGAAAAGTTCCTTGGGTGCTGCGTTGCTCTCCGGCTGCAAGATACGTCTTAAGGCGAGGTGATGAAACGGCCCGCTAACGCTTTCCTTGTAATTTTAGCATAATCTCCAGCACACACTTGTTAAAAGTCGCAGATTTGCTGAATAATTATTAAGCATGGCTGACTCATTAAGCCTCGGTAGGGGGAATAAAAAAAAAAAAAACACACACACACACACGGTATTGTTCCTCCCCGCAGACACTCTCGGCATTAATGGTGATTTATGCTAACAATAAAAAAACTAAAGAGGGAAACTTAAGGCCCAAATTAATGAAAATCAACAGCAAGGCTTGTTCGTTTTTTTGGAGGGGGGGGGGGTTTGTTAATGGAGGGGAATGTGCGTTCGTAAACAAAGCGTTCATTGACATTTTGCAGCATTGGGGCCGTGATAACATGGTGGCGAACGCTAGTGCAGCCCGTGTGGAGCCAATTTTATTTTGAGGTTGGACGTGCGGGGCGGCAGAAAGCCCCCGATAAGAGCTGAACAGCAGATGTTTTATGTAGAAGTGGATTTGTTTGCGAGAACATTAGTTGAACCGACCTCGGGGCTCCGTTTTCTCAAAGTGGGGATTGTTTCATTGAACGCTTTGCCGTCGTTTTCTTCATTGGAAGCCCGAGTACTCGCAAAATGTGCATTTTCCAAAATTTCAACCCGAGACGACGTCTACAGATTCGCGGCACCTTGAGAAAAATAAAGATGGTGTCAAAGCACTACTTTTGCCTAAACGAAGCGCCTCAGCTCATTTCGGCGTCGTTCCTTGGCAGCAAGATGGCAGCGTATTTGTCTAAATTAGGACACGCTTGGACGCGGTTCCTCGGGACCAAACTTGTGCTCCACTTTTGTCTAAATGAAGCTCCTCAACTCACTTCAGCGTAGTCCCTTGGCGCCCCGAACGGCAGTAGTTTTGTCTCGATTAATTCTCTCCAACATACTGTACATGTAAGATGGCGGCCAATAGTATTTGGCCACGGCCGGTTGCGAAGGGCCCATCAAACGGGGGGGTCGAAAGGGGAGCAGACGGAGCAAAGCCGCCCAGCCGGAGTGACTCTTCATCTCCACTTTGAATTCGTGGCGCTGCGGAGGACGGCCATGAAAGATGCAATGAGGCAAACGTTCATCGATGCCAGAGTTGATGGCGCTCGGAAGGGCTTGCTAACTCCTTGCTACTCTGCAATTCTGCGCTTTGTCGCACCGCTCGGTTTTCTCGCTGCCCTCGCTTTCTTTTGGGAACGTTTGAGGATGCGGGCTGAGGCGAGGCGGCGCCTTATGATTTCCGATCCGCCGCAGTACGAGACTGCGCGGTCTCTCCCTTGCCCTTTCTTGTCGCCCTCACTCTCCTCTCGGAAGAAAGGCGTCTCTTTTCCCGAGACACCAAAGCAGGTACGAGAAGGTCCGACCAAGTACTGGTTTGAGTCAATCAGGGCACCAAACAGGATACGGTACCGAGAAAGAATCGATACCTGTCGTACTTTTGAAAGATAACTTTTCATGGAACACTGACGCCAATGATGATTCGCCAATGTGTCAATATCCCTCAGCATAGCGCCACCTACTGCTGAGGAGGACTTATTCAAAGGCAGATTTTTTTTTTTTTCCTTTAGTATTCAGAGCTGGTATCGGCGGTCTCCAGGAGTCGTTCAGACTCCGAAATAAGGACGCTATTGGATACCGATAGCTGCGATCGTACTCGCCCATCCCTTGATGAAATGCTTCAACTGCTAGCAATTTCTCCCTGTCGAAACGAATATTTCTGGATTAGGATGGGAATGTTTTTTGTTTGTTTGGTTTTTTTTAAATAGTTTCCGACGTGGCTGCCGCCCGGGGAAATCCCCCCCACCTCCCCTTCCCCTCCCCCAGCATATGTCGAATGACGATGAGGCCTAGCGGGGGAGATGCTCCATCCAAAGTGACGCCAGGCCGTCGGCAATCTGTCACGTCATTAAAACCATATTTTAGTGGTCGCGTGCGCCGCCACCGCCGCCGTCGCGCCATGTGGCTCGACTTGAGCTTTCGCCCCCGCTCCCGGATTCTGTCAGCGCCATCTGCCAGCAGTCTTGACAGGGCTCTTGTTTTGTTTTGGGTTTTTTAAATTTTTTTTTTTTTTAATGGCTCACTGACAGTTTTTTTAGCACTGAAGAAATGACTCTTCCCTATCCGTGCACTGGCTCGCCTTGCAGCTCGGTCTGTTCGGTCGTTCATATGGAGACTTAATGAAAGGGTGTCAAAGGTGCGACTAAGTAGCTTAAGTCTTCTCGCAGGTCACTCCAGGCCAAGACGCTCCCTGAATTTGATGAGTCGCCGCATATCGCTTCCGAGCTTGGCTGCGTCGCTCCTCATTTCAAGCTCGGTCGTACATTTTTCACTTTGTTCTTCGTCCGGGTGAAACGTTTACCCCCTTTGCGACAATCCGAACGGTCGCGCCCCCTCCATCTGCTCGCACGACCGGCAAAGTGGCGCGCCTCGGCCGCGGGGCCGTCTTGTCAGCCGCCGTGTTCAGCTGATTTTTATCAGCACTCATAAACGAGGACGAGGTCAGAAGAGCCTGTTAAAGAGCTTACGATGTTCACTCCGCAACGGCACCGCCAGTGTGGCCGCTGCGGGCAATCCGCGAATCGCGTCTCGAAGGCAAAAATTCCGGCGCTCGCGGCAGTCAATTGGTCCATAAAAGAAAAACGAATTCGTCTGTATTCATTTCCGAAAGGAACAATCGGAGTCGAGCCACGCCGAGAGGAGCCGGGTGAGGCGGCTGGGGGCATTTTGATGCCCCCCCCGGTGAGGTGTTCCGGGCACGTCCTGCCGGCAGGAGGACCCGGGGACCACCCGGAACATACCGGAGAGATCGTTTCTCCCGGCTGGCTGGGGAAGGCCTTCCTGGGAAGAGCTGGAAGAAGTGGCTTGGGAAGAGGGAGGTCTGGGCTTCCTTGCTAAAGCTGCTGCTGCCGCGACACGACCTCGGATAAGCGCTAGAAAGTGGATTGGGTGGATGAAATTGTGCTCCAACGGAATATGAATCTTCCCGTTGTAATGTTCGCGACGCGCCCGCTTTTGGCCATTGAAGAATTCAGACGGTTTGACGGCATTGAATTACTCTGCCCAAATTCTCATATCGTACGAGAGTTCGGCTCCCGTAAAGTGACCATCCGTCGCCCAAAAATGTCACTGTCGGTCGATGCATTCGGATGGTTGATGAAGCGTGTCGTGAACAAATGCCGTGGTAACGGAATAGGAAAAAAAAAAAACACGTTTTGAGGTCGCACTCACAATCGAAAGGCCGAACGCAGAAAGTTGTTCTCGGAGTGCGGCAGACTCGTGACTTCCTCATACTTTGTTTTTTGCACCTGCGCTCATTGTGATGCGTCTTTGAGATGACGCGGCAGGAAAAAAAAAATCCCTTGCATCACGGGTGACGCTTAATTTCGAGCCTGCGTTTTGAAGTGAGCTGTTTGTTTGAATCGTGGATTCTTGCTGCTAAATATCCTGTTTTTTTGGTGTTTTTTTTTTTTTTTCTTGACATGGCTTTCATTAAGAGCAAGCGAGTGGAGCGCAATCAATGTCTCTCGGCATGCTTCACAGCGCAGGTTGACAAAGTCCCTGTTTTTTGTTTTTAATCCCGCCCCCCCCCCAAGACTCCGCCGCCCTCCATTGTCGATTTATTGAAGGGAAGACAAGATGGAGGCGGCGCGGGGAGTTTTTCCATTCGACTGCGACCATTTCTCTCGCTCATTTCCTTTGTGATTGGTCGAGACGGCCGCTCGGAGTTTCTGTTCCCGGTTGCGGCGTTTTTGCCGCTCCGTCCCATCGCATTGTTCGGTGAGCTTTTGGCGTAAGCTTCTTGCCGTCAAAATAACATCTTCGTTTAAGCCAGTCGACCAATCAGCCGCGAGTTATCCCAAAAGCTTCCGCGCGCCAGGCGTCCCTTTTCGATGGTTTCCCGACGTTTACCTTCGGCGCCTTCGGGTGTCGGACGGACGAGATGGGCCTTCGTTTCCCTCCTTGCTGCTGTCCCACATTTGATGTCTTTTTTTCTTATTTTGTTTTTGTTGTTACTTCTTCTGTTTTTTAAGCCCTCTGCAGAGAGA